GCCAAAAGTATAGGGAACGCAATGAATATCGAACTCTCTACCCATTTGTAATTGTTCTAGCGAGACAAGCTTGCAAGCCATTACACCACGTCGAAGTGCCCCAAAAGACTCGTAAATATGGCGATTTTCTAAGCGTAGTTTAGATATGGCACAAGGCCGAAAGTACGGGGCATCCAGTGAGGATCGAACTCACTATTCACTCGTAATTGATCTAGCGAGACAAGCTTGCTAACCTTTAACCACGTCGGGGTGCTCAAAGATACTTGTAAATATCTACGGAGTGAACTGTGATCAAAGGTTTATGAAAAAAAACAACGAAGATAGGGATACTTCTTCTTCATTGTGCTGTGTATTTTCAGTACCTAATTGATTATGATTCACTACAACTCCTTATTCTTTGTTAATATGCCACCAAAATTAGGTTAGGTTAGGAAGGAAACCCTCAACAATACAGGAAAGATCGATAACAGCTACTGGACTGAAAAATCCTCTTTTCCTGAAAACTAGTTTTAATAGAATAATTTTATAAATTTTAACTGATATTAACACTTGATGCTTGCTCGATAAATGCCGAATGTTTCCTCATAAGGAAAAGGTTAATATTATCATTACAATTAGCATATAGGTTGCTTGGCTTTTCTTGAAAATCTAGTCTGGTAGACTGAATGCTGTTTTGGTATGAAATAAATAGGCGGTTGCCAAATGATAAAGAAATATATAAATATATCCGGAAGGGGCAGTGATCAAAAGCTGGCGATAAAAACAGCGAAGATAGCGTTACTTCTTCTGCGTGCTGTGCACTTTAAGCTCTTGAACAATTATGGTCTTCCACAACTCCATATCCTTTGATGATATTTCCCGCAAATTCAAACAATAGGTTAGGAATGACACCCTCGACAATACAGGAAATATCGATAACAGCTACTGGACTGAAAAATCCTCAACTGATATTAACATTGGGTTTCTAGCTCAATAAATGCCGAATTTTTCCTTATGCTTAATATTGCACTTTACGCTTGATTTGCTTTTCTTGAAAATCTAGTTTGGAATACTGGCTACTCTAATCGGTATGAAATGCATAAACGTTTTCCAAATGCTAGAGAAATATATAAATATTTCCAGAGTGGGGAATGATCAAAAGCGTGCGTTAAAATAACGAAGATAGAAATTCTTCTTTAGCGTACTGTGTTTGTTTAGCTCTGGAGATGGTTATCGTTCTCTACAACAATCTATCCTTTGTAGCTTTTATGCTATGCTTAACTTGTGCGTCTATTCCAACTCAAGTGTTGCCCAGTCTTCTCATTCCAGTCTTTAAAGAGTTCAACTGTCTCTATGCAACATTGTGGTTGAGTAATCACTTTCCACCTACAACCCTTTTCTCATAGGTGAAACGTTGCTAATCTTTCAAATGTTCAGACGAGCTGCATTGCATAGCTCTACTAGGCCATACATTCACAGCTAGGACCCACCATTCTACGTATATGGTATCAGGTCATCATCATTCCCTTCGTATTCCTTTGGTAAGGAGGAGGTTTCTAATGAAGCAGCTTCTTCCACAGAATCATCTCTATGGGAACAGACTCATGAGAGGAACCTACCCCGATCACTACAGTTTTATCCTCTTCCGTTTCAGTGTTTCCGCACATACAACAATTTGGTTCAGTAGATCTCTACCTTGAGTGGCTCTTGTGCCTTATATTGGATAAAAATAATATAAACTAGTTTAAAAGTCACTTTATCGAGTGGCATATAAATTAATTTGTGCGGCTGGCTCTTGTTTGGGCCTTTATCACAATAGGTAGGGAGTAGACGCGATAGGCAAACTACAGAACTCAAAATTGATCGCTGTATTTAATAAGTATTGCATTCATATTTAAGCTTACCTTTTAATAGTCCAACGATAATTCTACTGTCGCCAGTTAATTTAAAGACACTTTGATGTACGTAGGTCCTTACTTTCCGTAAAAATATTATTTTCGTTTTATGGGTGACTTTCGCCGGATTTCTCAATTAATTTTGATTATTCGCAATTGTTTTCCAAGTTATAAAAATTGTTACCGTACAAAATAAAATGTTGCAAAAAATCACGTAAAAATCGCAATAATAAGAACTTGGCAATTCATTATTTCAGGATTGCGGGTCAGGATCTTGCCTGGAATGATTTTAATTTTCTCCCAGAGTCGGTCTGATTCCCAAACTATACGATACGTTGGGCTATTCCCTTTAACGGTAAAGTTGAAAACACGGATAATTTTATTTTGGAACATTGTAATTTGAGAACAGTGTTTTTTTTTCATTTGAACATGAGCTATAGAAAGTTAGAGAGTTGTGTCCCTTTATTTATTTTTTTATCAATAGAAACCAAGATGGCGGAATCCGAAAACAATTGCAATATTGAAAACTTGGGAATCCACAATTTCTGGATTACGTATCAGGATCCGCCCCGGATTGTTTTTAATTTGCTCACAGCGTCGGCCTGATTCCAAAATAGTATGATTATTTTGCGCTACGGCCTCTAAGAGTAACGTTGAAAAAGTGTGACACAATGATACACTAACACTCGCATTTAATATATAGAAGAATGGTGAATGCCTGTGTACAATTATGTATACTAGAATTGTAGGTAGTCGATTTAATTCGTCTTCTCTTTGAGGCATGTAAGATAGAAACTATTTGTTGATAATAATTATATCATTTTAATACTAGCAACAGATCGACTTAAAAAAAATATCAGTTGTACATTGTTTGTTTAAATTGTTTTAGTTGAATATTTTCTTTTATCAACTATTAAAACAAATTTCCCCGAATAAAAGATGCTATTGCAAACTTTCGACTAAATACTGTTTTTTGTTA